GTCAGCTATTGCATGGTGTGGTCTAAAACCTCAGTGCATTGTAATTTAGGCAACACTGACAAAGCAACAGTTTGGGTCATTTATGCAGCAGAAAGGTCTTCTTCACACACCTCAGCACATTACAACTCCACGTTGACAGTCTGACCCCAGTGAGCAGATTTACAATGTGTAACCCTGTGACTGTTAGGAAGGGGAAAAAAGACGTTTTCCTGGCCACGCTCCTGACAGCAGGTGCTTTGGTCAGCCTTGGAGACTAATGGCTCTTTCACTATGAAGACTTCTGTTTGATCTCTTGGTGGTAGCTCTCATGACAAGTGATGATCCACAACACGAAGATCCCCACAGACAGAGCCGGCAGTGTTTCTGCTTCATGGCACAAATTGCAAATGCACACCTGAAAGTGGTCACAAAAGACTCTTTACTACAGACACTTGATGCATGTGTATGACCATGCTGTTTATGCCTCCTTATGCCCAGTTTACTTTGACCTAAATTCTGATTCCAGGCACGATAATGCTACAGTCACACGAGGGGAAATGGGGGTTTGAGACCACACCAGAATTACTGCAATAAACAATAAATTTGCAGTCTTGTTTGTCTTTGGAATAGTTGCTTTGAAGATTGGGACCAGGTTCAACTGCAGTACTGCTGAGAATAATGGGAATGTCATTTGTTTTGGCAGATTAGATTAACAATTTCACTTGATTCTGCCATTGCAGAAAAAGTAAAATGTTTCACGTTTACCAACAACAGGATCTCACTAACAAACAGGTAACATCACAGTGGCTACACCAGTCTTTTATACACAGTCTAGGATTTCTTGGTACTACAGTCAAAAGTTATAAAATCTTTCCGTTAAAAATTCCCAAAAGATTGGTGGCAAATGAAATCGATCACGAAAACGTGGATAGAATGTGCTTTGCCTCACAGCAAGTTCCACTCCACCATCTGGCCTTTCTGTGTTGAGTTTGCATCTTCTCTCTGGCTCCATCCAACAGTCCAAAAGAGTTAGTGGGTTGAGTCTATGCGCGGCCATAGGTGTTAATGTGTTAATGGTTGTCTGTCTCTCTGTGTTACTCTTGCAACAGATTGGCCATCTGTCCACAGTGTACCCTGCTTCTCGCCCTGTGGTAGCAGGGATACTCTAGCCTGATAAGGATAGGTGGTAGAGAACAGATGGATGGAATGTGGATTCACAGAAAGTTACTACTGCAAGTCTATGACTGTGCTGTGCTAGAAATCATGAGTCGCAACCATTGCTGGTTAACACTAAAATCTAACATTAGCCAAAGTATTTTTTTAAATTGCCGTGAACTTCCCCAAAAGAAAAAAACCCATAATTTAGTGGCATAACTGTGGAATTTAAAGAGAAAAAACAGAAAGAGAAAGTTACTATTTAAAATAATCCCTTAAATACCCTGTATGTCTCTGTGGAAAAGCCTTTGTTAATCACAGCCTTGATAGAATTAAGTGTCATCCTGTCGGATTAATGCTAAACTCACCATTTAGCTGTAGCACGCACGAACATGACCTGGCCTAATAGCAGCTGTTTCTGTGCTGTACTAGCTATGTAAGCCTAAAGCACTTGTGAGATCATCATGCAGACTTTCTTTAAAAAGGTAGAAAGTTTCAGTACTCCTGCTGAGGTGCACTGGTGGACACTGCGCCATGTCCCAGACATTACCCCCAGGGGAAGTCAGTGTATCAGAGCATGAAAAGAAGTGGAGGACGGATGATTTCTTTACTCCAGGTCTAAATCATTCCTCTCTTCCTTCTTCTCTAGACCCGTTCCCAGCATCTACCCTGCTGTCCCTCTGCCCGGCTTTCTCTCTCCACCTGGAAAAATAGCAGGCAGTGAAACGTGACACGGGGCAGCGGCTGGGGGGGGTCGTGCCGGTCGCTGTGCTGTCCCACTAATGGAGATGGATGTGGGCTCAGAATTGTCTCCTGAACAGCCTCCACAACGAAGCGAGAGGGGGGGGGGATCCATTTCTACTGCACTTCCTCCTGGGCTACAGAACTCCCTTAATGAGAGGGGAGGGCTGAACACTCACGACTTGATTTGAGAGAAGGAAGGGGAGACCATGAGATGGAGACCTGCAGAGAGAATGGGACGGCTGAGAGAAAAGACATGTGGAGAGATAGAAAAGGGAGAATAGGCTGAGAGAAAATGGGCAGCGGGAGAATAGAGTAGAGGAATGACATGTTGACAACAGAGGAAGATAGATGATAAGACAGGAGGGAGAGAGGATTGAAGGACTAATGATATTCGAAAAGGTATAATGCAAAGAGAGAAAATGCCAAGATGAAGACTGACAGAGATAAATAGACCATGATTGCCGACAAATCACTTCTTTGCTATTATGCCTCCCGTAACTCCATCCTCGAAAAGTCTCCATCCCTGTCCTGGGTCCCTACATTTAGATTTCTTTGTCTTTTTTCATAGCTATCATAATAAGTACAAGTTTGAGTGCAGAGCTGAGGCTGGCAGAGGAAAATCCATAACAAAATAAAATTGTGGATGATAGGAGAGTGAGTGATGCTGCAATCGGAGAACAAGCCCAGTAACAAGCACTGAAAAAACTTAATACACAGGAGTTCCACAACAATTGTGTGTCTTTATGCACAAAAATCTTTAGGTGAGTAAACGGCCATGACCATACACACAACTGTGCAGGTCATAGTGTGTTTAAAACCTTGCATCCAGAGGTTAATACCTGTCATCTTCCTGGAGACCAACATATATTCTGCATTGTCTCTCAAATCAATCTTTTTTCTCAAATGCAGTCATGATAAATATTCTGTAGTCTGGACCCCGTTGCTACACTGAATGCTCTGCATATGCCGACCATCCGTGGATCCATCAGGCATGAGAGCAACTCATAAGAGGTGTGCATGTGCCAAAAGTTTAAACAGACCTGTCTTCTCTTTTTCTTTTTTCTTTTTTGTGTGCTGCAGGTGTAACCACTAAAGAGATACATTTTGCCCCACATTCAGCATAGCCACTGTGATATAAGGCTTGTTTTTCCCAGTATATATGTGCCACTTATGCCCTGTTCTCCTTAGCCAGTTTCACTGATTACAGAGTTGGAGCATCTGTTGCCAAATCATGGGTGCACAGCTTCAGTCCATTTTAGCCTGGAGGCCAGCTGATAATTCCACTGCTTTCATCGTGACTGAGGTATCTCAATAACTGAAGACATTTTCCATCCCCAAAGGATGAATCCCAAATTCTTTGCTGATCCTGTAATTCTTCTTCTAGGGCCGCACTGGGGTCAGCATGTGCGGTTAGTGTGAAATGCCTTAAAAGTTATTGGATACTATCCCGTCCTGTAATTGAATTTGAACTTTGGTCCACATGATCACATCCCTACATATGGCTTATCATCTAGTTTCACATTCAAGTCAAAATGTTGGTTTGTTTCGACACTTTGCTAATTCATGATCAAATAGCAGCAAAACTAGGGCTCTTCCCACCAGCCTTAGGTTACTAATATGAACTCACAGACTAGCTGATATGGCTGTGGACTTTTTTTTTCTTGTCACTCAAAATAGGATAGTGAGTCACCATGATCACTTTTGTCCTTACTGATTTTTCATCACTTGTTTTTTATCCTTTTTACAATAGGTTCACACAAAGAGACCACAGGTAGGGGTTTAAATTTGTATCCCATGTCTCATCTAAATCCATGAATCCGTGCCCTGGCATCACATAGCTTTCTGCGCACTAGTAACATTGTAATAAGGCAATAAGTATAAAGCATTACCATGCCATGAAGGCAGCAGGTGTCTTATCTCTCACTACCATGTGGAGACACCTATTTCCAAAGTTGAATAATGCATGTTTAATAAAGAGAAACACAGTGATGTTGCTTGGGAAGAATGACCACACCAGACTTTTGAGGCCTCAGATGTCAGATGTATCGCTGTTTCATATTTGCATCTAGGTTCAGAATACACATCAGTAATTTTTACCTACATCAAAAATTGCTACCCGCCTCCTGGTGTTGGCATACGTGTATATTTGGAAAGATCTGAGAGTTAGCCTTGAAAGCAGTGGACTTTCACAGCATTACTTTGCCAGAGCCCTATCAGCCTCTGCATTCTGTCTGTGTGTGACTCACTTGAAAGCCCTTGATAAACACTGGAGGGCGGAAAGACTTTAAATGTAAGCTTTGCAATTTCTCTATTTTCTCTGCAAAGAAAGTAAGCAGGATTGACTTCCTGTTTGTTAACCATTGTCAGATTCTTGGATTTTGGAGTGTTTGAATAAAAGCTGGGTGAAGTAGATGTGGAGACACCTGCATAAGCAAACACAGCAAATCTAAATCTTTGAAGGCTTTAACGATTCTGCAAGAAGCTATATTCTTTATTTAGACGTACAATCTTCTCTGCTTTCATCTACAACGCTACAGAGATTCCTCCCTAAGTTGTGCTCTTATAGTATTATAATAAAAAGAGAAAGATATTTGGACAACATTAGGTTGTGATTATCAAGATCTTCAACTGTCTTTTTCCATGTTTAAACAAGAATTTTCATAATTATTTATTTAAAATGCGCTCACTTGTGGCATTGTCTACTAGACACATTTTTAAAGATGCCTGTTGTAAATCTACAATCTAAACACTGTCACTTTATTATATAGAAGTTGGAATATTGTTTTAAGTATGCCATAGGTAAAGGTATACTTAAGAAACAGCATCTTCATTTTTCCTTGATTTTATGACAATTTTAAATGTTTTTCTAACAATTTTTAACCTTTGATCTTTTTTTCTGGAGGTGTAGTCATCAGTGTGTTACATCAGATTTAATGAATGATGACAGAAACTATTTGTATAATCCATTTCTAATATTTTCCATGAAAAAAAGTTAAATGAGTGAGAGGAACATGGTTTACCCAACCTTCCCTTATACAATAGCGCCATCTTGTGGATAAAAACCAGAAAATCTGCTTTAGTTTTTCTTGTTATTTACATAAACCTCCCAAAAACTGCTTCTGAATTTTTATTTCACTCGATAAAATACCAATTTCTCTCTTCCATTCTCTGCTTTTATTATTGATCTTTGTTTCTGTTATTACTGAGACCCCTTTATTAGCGTGTATTATTACGGTCCTGTTTGATTTCGTATGCAAGTTGCTGTATGATCCTCCAGATTTGCTCCACGCGCTTTCTCTGTTCTGCCAGATCCCTCTTTATCTCCTCAAGCAGCTCCAGCTTTGAAAGTTTCCTGTGAATGGATGTAAACACTTCCTCTCCAGCTTCCCCAACAGCATTATCCTGCTCGGGCACGGCGTGGCTCGGTTCAGGCGGCTGACATGATCTCATGGCTTCTTCCCACACAATCTCAAAGTGCAAGTCAACGAAGGCTTCCAGTTCCTCCAGGCTGCTGTTGCCCCACTGATCAATGAATGTCTGCAGGCCTCCAGACTCAGAGACCCTCCTAAGAGTCCGCTCTATCAGTGCAGGATGGCAGAGTGATTGCACACTGATCAAATCTTGTTCTACACATGGCTCGTTCTGTGTCTGAGATGAAACCAGATGCGTTGTTTCAAGTCTGCGTGGGATGGGATCCATGTGACCCTCCCTGTTCACTCTCAGGTGGTTGTGAGGAGCAGGAGATGGGACATGCTGAGTCACTTTTGGCAACCTCAGTACTTGTTTGCCAGAAAGCGGAGAGAATATATAGGACATGAAGTGATATTGGTCCACAATGATGCATCCAGCCAACTCTGTGGTTCTTCCTGCTGGTAACGCTACTAACTGAGAACAATCTTCTGAGAGCTTTGGTGATTGATAGGGGAGAGATTCAGGCACTGTGAAGGAAATAATGACACTTGATGTGATTTCCTGTGAACACGTGCTTAGTTTTGAGGCATTATCTAAATTATTTTAATTTCAGTTTTCACAATGACAAAAAAGGGCATGTGTGGAATCACCAAAGACATGTAGAAGCTATACTACCATCATCTTTACTTTCCTCAAATTCTCAAATTACCTGGCATCTGCCAGATAGATAAATAAATAAAATCTAAATAATTTTCAACAGATCCTATAAGTCACAAGTCACATGGCAAGTCACATGGAATATTCCTATTCCATGTGACTTGCCATGAGGAAATTTAATAGAAACAAAATCAAAAAGAGCAAGGGTTATATGGCCTAAATATTATTTCATCTTTAGAGGTAGAACGTATAGATGAGTGCTAACAGTACAATGACTCTCTTAAAAATATAGTTATTTTCCAAAATAAGAATTTGGGCTGCCTGTGACACTAGACATCTCTTTTATCCTGCTCTTCTTTCCTCTTGCCCCAAATAATGCCACGAGAGCTTTCTCTACAAAAGTTCCCAGCACACAGGCAATTCTTATTTTCCTTTCATTGTCCCTGCTGGACAACACAAACAAGCAAACAAGCTTGAAAGCGCATCATTTCATTTCCATATAGATGAAATGTGTGCAATGAAATAAGCAAGTGTCCATTTGTACACAAGGCACAATGGTTTTCATCTTGATGCTTCAGTATTGTTCAAAGTGCTCCATGAATTACCTGAACAAAACACTAGATAGGATACTATTCACTGCATTGAAATTCTCAAAGGGTACTAATAGATTTTGCCAGTGTCCGAGCACTTGAGACATGAAAGAGGTTAAAGCAACACTGGAACTGAGATGATAGTACCCCTCTTCATTCATTCCTATTTACACCAGATGTCATTATACTCACTTATCCACACTTGTGAGTGTATCCAGTTCCTTTTGGGTCTTTTACTATTTAGTGTATGTGCAGTCTAGGAAAGATTCTGTATGGATCAAATTGTAAAGCTACGTGAACTCTTTATCCCCACTGGGCAAACAAATATCTTTAAGACTGAAGGTAACCTTCCAACCTAGCAACTAATATTTATCAAGTTTTATCAAAACAGGAAACCTCAAGTTGTTGTGGCAAATGGTCCAAAATAACATCTGCTTATGCGGAACAGTTAAAGCTCTGAAATGATTCCATTGAAGAAGGAAACAGTGCGAATTTGATTATGCTGGCATAGCCAAAACATCCAAGAAATTCCGGTATTTACAATGCAAAGCGAGCGGGCGCATCATGCCACAACACATTTTAGGTCATTTGCACTGAATATTCCCCCTTCGATGCCTTAGTCGACAATATAATTCACTGTTGACTATCTGAACTTGGGCAAATTAACCACTAATAACTTCAAAATAAAAAGCCTGCACACTTCTGGTCATGCTCCTGAGCTAAAGCACCTTCTTTGGGCTTGAATACTGTGAGCTCCTACACTGAGAACTGACACTTTTTTCTAGGTTAGAGACGGAGATCCACCTCTCGTCCGTGTAATGGCCCTCAATATAAGAACTGGGTTTAACGCAGAAGCTGCTGCTTGCTCTCTGTACGGGTTTGAGGTGTATGGACAAGCAGACAGAAAAAGGATTTCAGGGTAGAAAAAAAGAAGAAAGAAGAAAGAAAGAAAGAAAAAGAAAAGAGGAAAAAAAGAAAGAGAAGAAAGGAGAGAAATAAAAGAAAAGAAAAAATAAATAAATAAATAAATAAATAAATTAAATTAAATTAAAATAAAAAAAGATGTGATTTCCTGTGAGCAACAAAAAGTCTTCACTATTAAGACTATTATTTATTAATAGTATAAAACACATAGACCACATACTAAATGAATCTTTCTTTGTGTTTTCCTCTGTGATGTTTATTATGTGCACTTTTTTTACTTTCTCTATTTAAATTAGCTCATAATGCTGTCTAATTTTCATTTTGTTAATAGTCTTTAAACCCATTGGCAAATTCAAAAGACATATAAAAGAAATAGTTTCATTAGGTTTACTCACAGTTATTGGACTGCTCAGGTCTGCTGCGCATGAAATCCTCTGGTCCCCTTTTGCACAGTGGCTCTGTGCCTATCTGCTGCTCTTGAGCTGAAGCAAAACTTTTCCACATGTGATCACCTCTGTGAAGAAGAGCCTGCCTCTCATCAACCAGCATCTCTTCCATCACATCAATTAGCTCTTTAACCTGAGCTCCATCTCCCCAGTTCTTATTGTCTAAAACATGATATCTGTTCCCACACTTCTCAACAAGCCATTGCAGTGGCTCTCCTTCGCTTTCAATGTGCTGCTCGATGCTTGTGTCACCCAGCATGTCACCATAGCTGAACAGGACCATACATCTGCTCCATAACTGATCTCCACCTGCCTCCAGGTCTTTTTGCAAGGTTTTCCTCCAGGTATCTTTGAACGACGAGCTAAGATTGACAACCAGAAGTATAGCACAGGATGCCTTCAAGAAGTCCGATGTCACAGAGAGGCAGCCTGGTGTGTCTACTACCACCACCATCTTGCCACAGATATTTCCCTTCCTTTCGGTGCAGGAAGTAGTTTGAGCAGCCGTGTCAAAGCAGTCTCTGCTGAGGATGGTGTTTCCACAGGAGCTTTTGCCTATTTTTGGGCCACCAATGAGCACGACTCTCAGCTCTGTCAAAGGTTCGAGGTTCTCTGGCAAACAGAAGTGTCATATATTTATTTATTTCTAAAAATCTAAACAGAAAGCCACCATGCTGCTAAATTAAATATTGTTAAAATGAGTAAAACAAGATCTTGTTGACTTTGTTAATTATCCAACTCACCCAGCTGAGCTCTTGCCATCTGCCTTTGTTTCTTCTTCTTCATTAGCCTTTCTCTGGTTCTCTCTTTCTCTCTTCGCATCGTCCCCTCCAGCTGCTCCAACACTTTCCTCTCTAGTTTATAATAGCAGCCGTTGTCACTGCTAGTGATGGTTTTCTCAATCTTTGCAATCAACTCCCTGACTTGAAATTCCTTATCTTTCATTTTACTGTTCTGAACATGATACTTGTTGCCACATCTTTCAACAATCCACCGCAGAGCTTCTCCCTCACTCTCAATGTACTGCTCAATAGGCGTGTCTCCGAGCCAGTCCCCAAAACTAAACAGCAGGATAACGTGACTCCAGATGTGTTCACCGATCATATCTAGATGCTCCTGTGCTGCTCTTCTGCAGGTCTCTGTGAATGCTCTGTCCACACGGATCACCAGCAGAAATACGTGAGGTCCCGGAGGACAAAAATACGAACTCAGCGCCAATTCCCCCCGATCAAAGTTGGAGCTCTCATCACAGAAGTAGTTCATCCACCACCCTGGTGTGTCCACCACAGTTACCAGTCTCCCAAGCACCATTTCTTGTCCAGCCTGGCAACGAACTGTCCTAATGGGTTTAGGGTTGTTCTCTCTTGCCAGGATTGTGTTGAGTGCTGAAGTCTTCCCAGAACCCTTAGCTCCAAGGACCACAATCCTGATGTTAGTAACTCCCTTTGACTTATCTGAGAGAAGTAAAGAAGAACAAGGGTTGGTTAAGTAGATTGTGTTTATATTGACACAATAAACACACCTACACAGACACAATTTTAAGTGTATGTTCCAGATGACATTTGGGGTGGCGATGGTCAGCAAAGAAGCAGTCAAAGTAAGTGGAAGTTTCTTGGACATATACTTTGTAGCCAACACTGTTTTCTGCTGTAAGCGGCTATGGATTGAGCTTTCTGAACTTTCTAGTTTCATCACAGAATATATAAAGGACCTCTTTCTTAAAGCTCTCAGCTGTTTTGGAAGATTACTGGTACTATTACAGTTTTTTTCCTAATTACTAAAACACTTGCAAATTCTGTGTACACTAATAGCTCACTATGACACACTGGGCAAAGGGATTCACTCGTGATGCATAATGCATAATGTGAGGCAGAAGAGAAACACAACTAGCACTAAAATAAATGTTCACACTTGCTACTAATACAGCTTAACAGTTGAGTGTGAGTCCAGAAAAGGGAAGTTAAGGGTTGATGCCAACTATGGTTAGTAATGAACAGCAGGGTTATAGGTTTCAGGTGGTCAGCTGGAGCCTTTCTGTGTGGAGCTTGCACAGTCATCATGGCTTCCTCCCACAGACAAAAAATATGCTGCAAAGTTAACTCATGATTCTAAATTTGCCGTAGGGAAATTTTTATTTCGTGTGTTGTAACTTTTGTACAAGCGTAAGACAGCACACGAATTTGGAAAGACCTCGGTTACGGGTAGTGAACACTGTGTTCTGTTTTTTTAGTGTGTAATCAGTCCTCAGCACTTATGATTTTAGCTGGTTGTGTGATTTTAAGCACAGGCAAACAGTTTTGTTGAGAATGAGATTTTGAGGGTTATATAGGTTGTATCACAATTTAACAAACAAATAGAGGTAATTTGGAGTTGTTCAGTTGGAGAAATGACATCTGTGCATGGTGAGGTTTTGTTTTTTTGTTTTTTTGAAACTTCTGCTTCTTGTGGTTTTGAGTTTTGCAAAATGGTTATATGACATCTGCCAGTTGCGTCAGGGCAAAAACTGCCCGAAGGGTTTTCCAAAACACCCAGTTTCAGTAAACTGGATTGCATGTTACTGTCAGGGTCTAGCTTTTGTGTTTTTGAGTTTTGTATTCTTGTTTAATATATTTAATTTTGTTTTTCTGTTTGGTCTTTATTTTTAGTCTAGTGTTTAAAGATTGTTTTTTTTGCACTTCTGTTTTATTATTCTTTGTCATTACCTAATGTTCTGTTACATGATGACTTTTAGTCTCAGAATTTAGTTCCCACTTTGACTTCATTGTTATCCCTTCTGCTACACCTGCAATGTTTCCCTTATTATCTGGTTTCAGTATTAATTACTTTTCTCTCCTGTCTTCCCTTTTCACTGTCATCTTGTTTAATGGGTCTTTTTGTCTCTGTGTTAGTACTTTGTCTTTTCATTACTTCCTCTTTCACTGAAGATTATTCTTACTTTCTGTTTTTCATCTTTTAAGATTTCAACAAATGTGTTAATAACTTTCACACATACATACGTACATACACATCAACTCACTTTGTATCAGAGATCTGTGTTTTTTCATTTTCTTTAACCTCAGCCGAGTCCTCTCCTCCATCTCTCTCTTTTCCTCTTCATTCACCCATAAAATGTTTTCCTGCATTTCAAACACACTGTTTCCATTTTCTGTGACAAGTTTCTGTATCTTTTCCAGCAGCACTGTGCGTTGAGAGTTATCACTCGGGACAACACTGTGACATCTCTGGCTGCACTTTTCACTGAGCCAGCAGATGGCCTTTCCCCCACTTTCTACATACTCTTCTGAATTTGTGTCTTTGTACTTCTCAGCACAGGTGAAGACAACCATGCAGTGACTCCACACCGCGTCACCCAGCAGGGCCACGTGTTCCTCCAAAGCCTTCCGACGCTTTTCTGACAAGACAGAGGTTGCCTTAATTATTATAAGGAACACATGTGGGCCTGGCGAGCAGAGAGCAACGCTGGTTATGATCTCCCTCTTCACCAGCTTAGGTGTGTTCTGAGCACTGGAGTCACACCACCAGCCAGGAGTGTTCACAACTGTGACCCGCAGTTCGGACACTTTCCCAATCCTCCTGGAGCATAAAGTCCTCTCTTCTGTGCCAAACTCTTCTTTACCCAGGATTAAGTTTCCTACAGCATTCTTTCCAGAGTCTCTGCCACCAAGAAGGACAATCTTTAACTGTGATGTACACCAACCATCCACTACAGAAGAAAAATAGAAATACACATTAAGGAAAAGAGGCAAGAATGAAAAGCTAATCCCAAAATCTTCTTTTTTTTACTTGTTGATGAATTCCCATCCATGACATAAAATATCAAAAAGACTGAAATCAGAAATGCATGTATCTCAAACAACAAGAACAAGGCAGACTAATTTAAAAGTATTTTTGTATATGAGATCCCAAAACATGTTTTCACCCTGATAAAGATAAATCATTTCACACTCTACAACTAATTAGCCCCTTCTTGATAACTGTGCAGGAGTAAATTGTGATATCACGCATCCATTTTCTCTGTGATAGGGCCTTAAAGCTATGCTTTATTATGGGCGCGGCCACTTTGAATCACAGATGGGTGCGGCTTCCCCTGATTCAGCATTGCACTAAAAGACGCTTTAAAGATACTTCTTCTAAACAAAAAAAGAAAGAAATTAACCAAGGATAAATGAAACAGCTATTAGAACATGAGGCAAGTATAAAAATGAGTAAATATGAAGCATGAAAGATTTATTAAAGCTTATATACCTTATGGCTGACTATGGTTTTTTCATCATGGATTAATAGAAACATTTCAACACTGTATTACATAACAGCATTAAACTCCATGCTACTTATCAATGAAACTATAGTGAACAAAAATGAACAAAACAATGTGGAAACATCACTAATCAATCCATTGTGACCAATTTCTTTGTTAATGAAACATTATGAAATCATTTCGTGACACTAATAATACAAAGTCTTTGGGTTTCAGACATAATTGTGTATGTTTTGTGGTGAATAAGGAGAATCATATATTAACACTTACATGTTGACAGATTGCTAGTTGCCATCTCCAAATCTGTGCTGTCTGTAAGCCTGTAATGTATAAAACAATCATCATTTTCTCACGTCTACTCCATGTTTCCAGCCTTTGTGTGAAAAATGCAGACACTGAAGGAGTCATGGTAGTGTGTAGAGTCTGAAGGTCATCTGCAGTCAGCAATGAGACACGCCTGCCATAAACACTAATAACCATTTATCATTTACTCCACACAAACAAAAACTGTATTTTTTTCATAATACTCAGAGAGGTTTGGGGGTTAAAACATCTAATAAGTAATTTTGCAATCATGGGACATTACATTGTAAAAAGAAAAGAAAAAACTAACACCATAACCACACTCATTTTTTGGTATCCTGTAGTGTCGCCATGTAACTAAATGCCTTTATTCAAATTAACTGCAAATTTTAGGTTTTCCTGTTTCCTGCTTCTATTTATTCTTTTATTCGCCTGATGAGCGAATAAAATCAAATAAAATGTGCCGCCAAACCATGAAACAATAGCTAAAACTCTAATTAGCTTTCAAATAATTAATGTGTAATACTAACGTTGCACTTTTTTTATTTTCTTTTTTTCTGCACTTTAACAATGATATTTACATGCAGTACTTCCGGTTAAGCCATTCAAAATAACCTAATTAGTTAAAGTTTAATGTTTTTAAAAATTAATTTAACATTTATTTCTTTTTAAAGAAAGAAATGTATTGTGTAGCTCTGTGCTCGGACTTCTCTCGACAGATCAGGTTTTTCTTGGTTTGTGGGGTAAATAAGCTCCGCCCCTCTTCCGGTTTGGTTTTACACAATCGGTGGTTACCAAAGCAGACGTTCGGAGCTCTGTGGTCATTAGAGGATCAGCGACGATGGGGGTCAAAGTCAGAGTGGAATATTGGTATTTTCTTTCATATTACGTACTTTCTTTATATTTTCAGTTAACTTTTTGTCTGTTGTCAGTTTAAACAGTTTCACTTTTGGCTAGCTCATAGCTAAGCTAGGTGCCTGCGCAGGCAGCAGCCTGAGCCAAGAGTAAGGAGCGCTGATTCTGCTTTTGCTTGTATGATTTTCTTACGCACCTGTGTTTTTATTTAATTTAGTGGTGGATGAGGTTACGAGCCCCGCTATCGTGAGCTCGCCCGTGTTGTCAAGGGTGAGTTTAGCGATGCGGACGTGACAGGTTTCGTGGGAAGAACCAGTAAGTCATCGTTGATCGCTGCAGATAAAGCTGGAGCTGGAACTCATGGTTTGTTTCATATCAGATGAGACAAACCACGAGTTCATAGCTCCAGCCTTAAATTCCGCCCCTCCCTTTATTGTGAGCTTAGATCATCAAAGCGCCATTCTCACGTCCTATTTCTGCTGCCCTTGGTATTATAGGTAGCTTTGAGATTGAAATCAATGGGCAGCTGGTCTTCTCCAAGTTTGAAACTGGTGGATTCCCTTATGAGGATGACGTAAGTACTGTGCATACAATTTGCCTATCATATGTCAATTAGAAAAGAATAGCCCTTTATTGTCATTGTACACTTATACTGTGTATTTCTTGGCACAGGTCATGAACGCGATTCAAAATGCTTATGATGGCAAACCTTTGCAGAAGATCACCAAAAGCCGCGCTCCATGCGTCATCATGTAAACCTCCCTACTGCTACACAACCGTGCAGCAGTGGTTTACACACCCAGAAGAGAAGCACTAGCAGTAAACCAACTCTGCTCTGCCTCATGGCTCCTCTCTCTGTTCCCATAGTGGTCCTCCGGGGTATTAATGATTACCGTTGCTTCAACTATTAAAGGTTATGGTATGATGTATCTGTCCCTGGAGTTCCCTCATCATAGGAGCAAAGACAGGGAGATGATGTTGCAGATGATATGGAGGGAGTTCACCTTTTTGTCCTATTGCCTGTCATTTTCTACCCGACTAGTTGTGTTTTGTTTCTCACTGTAGGTTTGTTTGTTTGTTTGTTTGTTTTTTGTTGGAACAATACAAATGGAAATACATTATCTTTGCACCACACTATGCATAATGATTTGTCACTAAAGCATTTTTATATTTCATCATTTTCATAAAGTAGTAATTTGCTCTGCTGGTTTTGAATAGATTTGCATTGTCATATTTGTGGCTTGGTGGATGCAAAGGGAATCTGGACCTTTTCTTTTTTTCTTTTTTTTTTTTAAATCCATATCAAATTTGAAAGGAGTAAAACATTAAAACGATTGGACCTAATGATGCTATTGTCTGCAGCACCTGAGCTTAGCCAAGTTTCTGCTCTAATTTGATTCGGTAAAGTACTTTCGCATGAAATGTGTGTTTCTAAGGGCCGTCACCAGCTGGTCTATGAAGCTCACATACTAGATGCTAGCTCATATTCCATAAATCCTTTTGCATTGTTTTCTGATATTAAAACTGGAGCAAGAAATAAAGGCAATTGTTCTTTAAGTACTGCGTGTGTCACTTTTTCACAATTAAAGGTGTCTTATTATCTTTAATGGGTTTCTTAAAATGCTTGCATGTGATTGTTGTCCTCACACGTATTTGGTTCTTGGAACTGGTAACCAGGTGTTTTTCATTGCATGCAAAACAGCTTTTCCTCTGTGGACCGAGGCTGTCAACCTCTAGGGAGGATCGCACACAAACTGCCAACTATTTTACAGCCGAGTTCAACAGGCTTTTCCTGTTTTGTCTCTGTCCTCTGACACAAATGGGTGTAGGGCCATACTAGTTAAGGGTACCTCACATAAATACTGACCCCGTTCTCTAGGTTTCTACTTCCTATTGTTATGCATGCTAATTGTTTTGGGTTTTTTTTTTATTTTCTCTCACCTCAATAGGAAAATGAAATAATTACTTATTTAACACGAATGAACAGATCAGATGGAACCTGCCATTGGTGGGTTTCTTGGCACAACATTTAACACAGAAATGTGGCATAAAGATACTGAAGCAGAGCTAGAGACAAAAAATAAATAAAACTTGGTTCTAAAGTTGTTTGCCATACTTTTTGCACTAAGGGGCGCCAAACTCAACAAAGACTACCATCACAAGTATTTTGCCTCCAGCATACCCTCTGTCAAAGAGTGTCACCCTGAAGTCAAATGCGGAAAGAATTCAAATAAGGAAATTGCTTGTCTGAAAAAGTCTCGCAACCTTCGAGGTTTTGTTTTGTTTTTTAGCTATAAACTATGTTTTTATACATAAAAAGGCGATACTATTAACCAAGGCTCTGAATGCATTTTCAGGTTGTATGTATGCACTGAGGACACTGTCCATTCAAAAGCTTATGAAGACCCACACAGTCTGAAGAAATGTGCTGAAAGTTAATGTTGGGCCTCATTATTTGTGGATTGGTAGATTTAGCAAACTTTAGAAGGCAAATATTAAAAGGTCACTAATGTAATTATGAATTGAATCATAAATGTGATTAGGCTTTTATTTTGAAAAGAAATGCATTGAAATATTTTACTGCTTTTTAATAAGAAATGGTATTCTGTGTAATCAAGTGTTGTATAGTTTGTCTAGGTGTGTCTTTGGTGTTTGGCTCTGGCCGGCAATGATAACTCCCATCAGCCTGCTTGTTGTAATCCTGATAGAGCTCATCTGTGCTGCCTTAGTGCTCCAATAAGGGCACTGAAAATGTGCAGTGCCTCTAAAGAGTATTTAAGTGTCACCTTCCATATACTTTAGTCAGATGTCTTGACTCAGGTGACACCATTTAACCAATTACGTGACTACAAAAACCAGATGGCACGCTAGATGAATATTTTTCATATTTACTGTACACATAAATATGTTGTAAGACAGCTCACTCACACATAACTGCAAACAGGTTTTTCTACATTTTGTGATGTGTTTCAGCAAACGTTCCCCTTCTCTTTTTTCTTTCTCTTTTATCTTTCATTTTCAGATTAAGAAGTCTAAAAGTCTGCTTTGAGTTATAGATTTTCAAACTGCTATAATGAGGCTCTCCTCCAAGTCTGTACAATCTTTTATTGCACATATTTTTATGCCACGACAAATGGAACGTTTTTCATGTTGCTGTCACATTTTCCTGAAGTTCCCTAAATGTTTATGAAAGTGTGTTTTTGGACACACATTCATAATCAAATAGGCTATATGAAGCCTGGGAGTGTCTGTATACTGTATGCGTAGAAACATGGCCACCGCAGATAGCTTCTACAATTGCTGATAACAGTGCCACAGTGTCTTTGGCTGGGGCCCACTTCCCTCACTGTGGAGTATATTTATGTATTTACGCTCATAGACAATTATTATTCCTTCAATGCCAGGTCATCAACCAGGAGTTCACAACCCACTGGCCAAGAGCAGCTATAAAATCATAATCATGCATAATCATAGTTCCATATACAGTGGGACAAAAAAGTATTTAGTCAGCCACCGATTGTGCAAGTTCCCCCACTTAAAATGATGAGGTCAGTAATTTGCACCAGAGGTACACTTCAACTGTGAGAGACAGAATGTGAAAAAAAAATCCATGAATCCACATGGTAGGAATTGTAAAGAATTTA